CGGGAAAGAAAAGAAGAGAAGTTAATTAGTACTGCCCGGCTAAATCAATCATACACGCCTCAACTTACCTTTAGTAATGCGAACTTTGGACCGGTGAAGCGACTGACTCGCCGTTTTCCGGCCCAACAATGTAAACAATTGCCGATGATAAAAACTTAACTCTCTGCTGTACGACACAGTGTTTATCTATTAAAACCAAATTAATGTATTTCCAATACAATGCTGTACAACGAATTCCGATTTTATTTATTTTACTAAATTATATAACTTATTTACAAATAAATAGTGTATATTGATTGTGATTTTCCTGAATATTATTGAATTTTCGTAAATTAAACGAGTAAAATAAATAATCGATCAATTGCTTTTGAAATTTTATTATTTAAAGATATACATATACGGTACAGTATGTATATTTCATTAACTTTGTTTGTTATATTTACCCATTACTATTGTAATATTCTGTGTTTAAGAAACAATACTTTATGAGAACATTCGATTGCTGTAATCATTACAAGTATTATACATGGAATATTCTGGGATGAATCATCATTCAGCTACTCTAAGCTAATCTTCTACGGATAAGCCAAAATATAAATCCGATAGCCATGAAAACGAAAGAAAGTATATATCGTATATAGTAATACGAATCGGCAGTTTCCGCTGGCACAAAAGCCCCGATACAGATAATTGCCGTTATTGCCAAAAATAAATAAACTATAATTTCTGGAACTTTAAATAGGTCATTACGAAGTTGTCTCCTGTTCCTTAAGACCTTTTAAAATAATTTAGATTATTATGATGAAATAATGTTGCATTTACACTTTCATAATAATAATAACTCTTACCAACAAACCCAAAGCACTGAGGCCGAAGAATATGAGAGCTGAATACTGAGTCATAGTTATGAGTACTTCGTAAGGATGACTTGGTGGAAATAAGAAAATGATTATTATACAGTATAACCATTGAAAAATCAATGCACCAATGGGAGCGTCATGACGACCGTCTACGTTATTTCCATTGGGATTTCCTAAGATCCTTATGATGATATTTGGACCATTTAAAAATTCTCTTAAGAGCGGAGAGAAGTAGGGAATGAAATCGCTATCGGCAGCGGAGGCAATAATCCTAGAACCACTCCAAACCATGGAAGCAGAAGCCCCAATTGAAGATAGTGCAATCAGAATCGAAAGCCCGCGTCTAAAATCAATGACATCACCTATTGTTGCACTCATGATCTCTTTATAAGTGCCTCTGTGTGCCTCATCATGATCCACTATCGTTATAAAGGAAAGAATGCCAAGTATATCTAAAAATAATATTTTGGATTAGTATTGGAATATACTGTACATAAAAATAACTAGCACAATCTTACAGTAGACACAAGATTCTTACATAATATGCTTACTAGAACAACGCTAAATGGGTTAGAAATTTTAAGCCTTCTAGGTGCATCATTCATTTCACTCAAAGAATCTAATAAATATTTTAAAAAGTTTTAGTACAATTCAATAGACTCATTACGTAAAATTATTTTAGTAATAATGCTTACAATTAAGGTTATTCCATCCCTCATAAGCAAATAGCACCTGTAACATGGAGCTACAGTAATTACCAAAATTATCCAATCCTTTTGTTCCAGAAAACATAGCATTCCAAGTTAGCTTGCCAGGATTTTTTGTAATTTCCGCCAATCCAATTATGGAAATAATTAATAAAGTTAAAGTCTTGAGTATAGACAATCCGAGGTTTATAAGCAAAGCAAATCGACTCGAAAATAAATGGTATAAAGTTATAATAGATAATATGGAAAATGCAATCGAACGAACTTCTCAAAATAGAGTGGATTTAACATATCCTTCGGGATTTAAAGTGGTAGTGTCGTTGGTCTTTGCATAAATTATGTATTCCGACGCAATAATAACATCGGTTACAATGGCACCGCTATTTATAAAACTGTAAAGCTTATCGATAAGAACATATTTTTATAAAATAAAAGAACAATAAAATAAGTTTTACTCACGTAATAGTACAGAAACTAAATATATATCCGATAAGTCTATTGGGATTCGGGAATGATCTTTCTAGATAGCGTTGTTCACCACCTGTTTTTATTATTAAAATAAATAAACATATATGCATGCAGCAAACAGTATATTGTAAATATACACGGAAAGAATTTAAATAGCATACCTGACTCGGGTATGTTACTACCGAGCTAACAAATAAAAGGAAAATATTTGAGCTAAAAAGTAAAAAACCGAATTTAAAAAACTGTAATATACCTCGACATATATAAAACTTCCCATCAGGGAAAATAAAAACCCTATTATGTATAAACATAAGGTCATTCCACCACTTCCAGTTAAATACCAAATAAGACCAGATGTAGAAAATATTCCTAAGAATTGAAGACACTTTAAAAACAAAACCTAGGCATAGGGATTTTTCTTTGAATATGTACCACTTCCTATCATATTGTTCACATTCATACAAAGCCCAGTAAAAGTTTTAATGGACTGATTATTTATGGGGGCCGCCATTATTGACAGATAAATGTCAATGAAAGATTGGGATAAATGCAAGCTAAAGAATTCATACGTTCTATACTGTATTTATATAATATTTTAGATGAAGGGCCACCTTTAATTTAGGTTTTGATGGGCAGTGCAAATTTCAAATAAAATGTTACACCTAGATACTGTATTAGTACGAACAGAACGGATATAATATCAAAGTCTCCGATTGTTATTATAGTATTATAAGTTAAGCACATTGAATCTAGATTACACGCATTCAATATTAAATAAAAAACATATGTAATTAGAAGCTAAGGGAAGCTTGGCATTATGATACGAGGGGTATTGTGATACACTCGTGTTTCTTTGACAATTTCTTGTGACACGGCGATTCATATCGAATGATTTAAGCATCATTCGATTTGTCTTATCAAAAAGAATTGGATGGTACAAGTATAATCTTATTCTGATCACTGTATTGCAAGAGATAAAGAAGGGGGTAAAATGTTATTGCAAATTTTTTTAAATCTTTGTAAAATTATATTTTAAATTAAAATTTATTAAATATTAAATTTTAATTTAATATTATACAATTAAGCAATATAAAAAGTTAAAATTAAAAAATATCTATCTTTTTAATTTTATTTTTGTGCTTCTTTTAACTTATTAAATTATAATTATTTAATATAAAAAAATTTAAATTTTCTATACATATTATACTTAAACATTCAGATTATATCTAAATTTAATTAGGTTATATAACAATAAAACTTCTGATTTTTTTAATAATTATAGGTTAAAATCAGATCAAAGTAGAAAATATTATATAAATCAAGGCTTCTCGTCTAACTTTATAAAAACTCATAATTTTAATTGATATAACAGATTTTGTAAAACAAACAATGCTCTGGCATGAAATTATTTCAATCAAATACTAACTTAAAAGAAGTTTGCACAAGTTAGAATTGATATAATAGAAACAAAAATTATAAGTAATAACAATAAATATAATATTTTTAAGATTTCAATTAAAAAACATTAAACAGGATATTTAAATATAATAATTTTGAAAGATATATATTTTCAAAAACAAAAACCAGAATATAGATTAGACCTGATGGTATAAAACTATTAATAGAATTTTTATCTTTTAATATCCGATATTATATATACATTTTATTTATTAAGTGATTCGAAATTAATATAATTGAATAAAACTATAGATAAAGAAGGTGGATTAACTTAAATAAATCTTGATGTATATGTAATTATATAAATTACTTAATAAAATCATGTGCATTAGTATTTTTTATTTAAAAAAAAATAACAAATAAAGAAATAATATAAACAAGTTAATAATAATACATTTTATTAAAATATAATAAAATACAAAAATTAAAAATAATAAATAAATAAAAATCATCATATAAGTAATTAATCAATTAAAAGTTAAATTTATTTTTTAAAAAATTCAAGTCTTTTATTATAAGATAGTTCAATACTATATTAAATATACAAAATATTTAATGAAAAATCATAAATTCAAGCCAGACTTTGTATAAAAATAAATAAAGCAATCTTAAATATTAATTTAATATCTTTTATTAAATAAATAAATTTTTTATAAAAGAATTTTGTTTTATAAAAGAGAAACAAAGCTAATTTTATATACAGTATGTATTAAATTTATAAATATTTTAAGATAATAATTAAGGGAATCTATTATTATAAAAGAATTGATATAATGTAAAAGGTAAATGAAACAATATGAAAATCAATTATATACTGTAATATGCATTTTTGTATTTTTAACAATGCGATTAAATTATATATGTAATTGGTAAAGTATATGAAAAAATTAGGCAAAAATTAACCAATAAATTTATTAATCCTATGCCCCTCTTTGATTATTTATTTGTCAAAATTATCAAATATAATGTATTTTACATATGTTTTCATTATCCTGTTTATTCTAAATATATTTATTTCTCGATTGTTTTTATTATTCCGCTTATTCTCATCAAATGATATTGCATAGCATATTCTATTCTCCGGAGCATAAATGTAGAACATAGTTTATTTACTAACACATTCATTCTATTAATTACACGCTTTATTAAGTTAATAATCACGTACTCTATTTATTTGGTTGGTTTGTGTACTACGTAATAACCGGGACAGGGTGTAAATAATCGTCTTGTCTGAACCTTCTCTTCGCTCTGGACAATAATAAATTTATAATATTTTTAGAAAAATAGTATGATTATATTTGAAAATTTTCAACATAAAGTATAGTATTAAAAATACAGTATGATTTTAACAATAAATTTTGAAAATAGGAAAATTATTATATGGAAATTGTTTTTTCAAATAACGAGTTGAAACCCTTAGAAATAATATATGAGATTTTTTTTTTATTGTATATACAAAGCAGTTAAATATTTATAGTATTTTGTCGTTTCATATATTAAAATTCATCGTACAGTAATATGTTCATATAACCGGCGTAGCACTTATCGCGTCGTAGGTTTAAAATCGACTACAGTAAACCGACCAGTGATCACTGATCACTCATCACCCACGGTAGAATAAAGTGGGGTTTTCTTCGAACATGTACAATTTCCAATCATGTTGCAGACATTATTAATTATACATTCGACGCTCTCATTTCAGAATATCAATATCTCCTTTATCTTTAATAGCGTTATCATTTATCATTAATATTATTTTGATGGGACGACAATTGTACGAAGAGTAGTAATCAAAAAGATTTTTCTAATAAAAGTTTAAAAAAATCGACACAGTAACGAAAGGTACTCTATGTGCATATAATTTGGTTTGTGTTTTATCTCATAAGAAAAAATCATCTATTTTTTTCCAATTCTATAAAATAAATAGCTTGTTTTCGCGATTTCAAAGCTTTTTATTACCTTCTATCTGTAACATATAGTATTTCCTTCACTCATATATAGATCAGAATAAATCTCATCGATCAGATCTTTATTCCAAAATAAGATCAAGTAACGAGCTTCGTGATAAATATATCATAGATAATCTCACAAAAATTATATCAAAATATTAATTCAAAACTTGAGATTTTTGGTTGCAGTTTTACATTTCGCGAAATCAGGACCAAAAACGGCTTCTTTATCATGTAAACAACTGCCGATGGTACACTCAACTCTCCATTGCACAATATGCAGTACTGTTTATTATATATATATATATATTATACCGTATTTCATTAAAATCTATTTTATAACTTGTTTACAAATTAAATGAATGATGAAATATAAATAAATAATAACACGGAGACAACAAATGATATAATAATAATTGTTAAATGATCTACGACAGAACACGATTGGATAAGAGTCAAGATATTCTATATTATTTCTTATGTCAAGTTAAAATCGTTAAATAAAGTAAATAAAATGAAGATAAATAAAAATGAAGATATCTAATAAGTGTAATCAATCATTATGAGCATCTATCATATGATGAATATAATGAATCATCTGATTGATGTTCTTTGGAAAGTCCAAAAAATTAATCCGACGCCCATAAAAACGAAAGAAAGCAGATACCGTATATAGTAAAATGAATCGTTAATTTCCGATGGCACAAAAGCTCCGATACAGATAACTATTGTTATTATAAAAAACGAGTAAACTATTTCACTTGAAACTTTAAATGGACCATATCGAAATTAAACATTTCTTTTTCTTAATAACTATGAAAATAATTTTACGTTTAAGTATTGGGATGTAGGTGAGTGTATTTAACATCAACAACAAAAAAACTTTTACCAGCAAACCCAAAGCACTGAGGCCATAGAATATGAGAGCCGAATATTGGGTCATGGTTACGAGTATTTCGTAAGGGTGACTTGGTGGAAAGAAAAAAATAATTATAGAGCAGTATAGCCATTGAAGAATCAATGCACTAACAGGAGCTTCATGATGATTGTTTTCATCGTTATTTTCATTGTGATCTACGTTATTTTCATCGTCATTATTTTCATCGTTATTTTCATTGTGATTTACGTTAACCACTTGAAATCTTCTTGAGATAATCCTAGGAACACTTTGAAATTCTTTTAAGTGCGAAGAGAAGTAGGGAATAAATTTGCTATCGGCAGCAGATGCAATAATCCTAGAACCACCCCAAACCAACGAAGAAGCAGCCCCAATTGAAGATAATGCAACCAAAGCCGAAATCCCGCGTCTAAAATCAATTACATCACCTAATGTCGCACTCATGATCTCTTTATAAGTGCCTCGGTGGGCCTCATCGTGATCCACTATCGTAATGAAAGAAAGAATGCCAAGTATATCTGAAAAAAAAAATTACATTTTAATTACTATTAGATATACGGTACATGCAAAATATACATGTAACTGACAAAAAGACAAATTGGGAAAGTAATTATATTCAGTAGTACATACATAATACGCTTACTAGAAAAACGCTTAATAGGTTTGAATATTTTAGCCTCCTAGAGACATCATTCATTTCACTCAAAGAATCTAATACAATAAAATTTAAAAAATATGTTAGTACTATTTGATAAACTCCATAAACGTGAAATAGTTTAATAATAAGCTTACAATTCAGATTGTTCCATCCCTCATAAGCGAATAGCACCTGCAACATAGAGCTACAGTAATTACCAAAATCATCAATCCCTTTTGTTCCAGCGAACAGAGCGTTCCAAGTTAGCTTTCCAGGATTTTTTGTAATTTCCGTTAATCCAATTATAGAAATAACCAATAATGTCAAAGTCTTGATTATTGACAATGCTAGATTTATAAACAAAGCATATTTGCTCGAGAATATGTGGTATAAAGTAATTATAGTTAATATAGAAAATGCAATTAAACGAACTTCCCAAAATAAGAAGGATGCGACATATCCCTCAGGATTTAAAGTGGTTGTGTCGTTAGATCTTGCATAAATTATATATTCTGAAGCAATAATTGCATCTGTTATAATGGCACCGCTATTTATAAAACTGTAAATGTATTTATTAAAAACATATTTCCATGAGCAGAAATTATAGAACAAGAAAATGAGTTATACTCACGTAATGGTACAAAAACTAAATATGTATCCTACAACTTTATCGGGGTTCGGGAACGAATTTTCTAGATAGCGTTGTTCACCGCCTGTTTTTTCAAGACAATAAAATAAATAAGCATATACGTATCTGTAGATAATGCATACGCATGGTAAGAATCTTAATTAGCATACCTGACTCGGGCATTTTACTACCGAGCTAACAATAAAGGAAGTACATGAGCTAAAATAAAAAACAGAATTTCAAAAAATAATAATATACCTCGACGTATATAAGACTTCCCGCAAAAGAAAAAAGTGACCCTACAACGTATAAGAGTAAAGTCATCCCGCCACTTCCAGTTAAATACCAAATAAGACCAGGCGTAGAAAATATTCCTAAAGAACAAAAGATCCATAAAACAAAAGGAAAAAAAGAAAATTCCGTGTGATTTTCTCCGAATAATTACCACTCCCGATCATGTTGTTCACGTTCATACAAAATCCTTTGAATGTATCAATGAGTTTGGAATCCTGTGAGTCAGCATTATTTTCGATTTCGTGGACCATTATTGCACGGAGAAATGACTAACGAAAGATTGCGATAAATGCAAGCTAAAGAATTCGTATGTGATATACGGTACTGTATTTATACATTATTTCAGATTAACCGGAAAATATTACTTTTGATTTATATTTTCTATAAATTTAAAATGAAAGGATATATTTAGAATTTGGCCCGATCAAGATGGATATAATATAAAGGCCTAGAATGGTATTTATTATATTACAGTATCAATAATGTTTGAGTATGTGTACATTTTTTTTAAAACAAAACCTAATCTATTAAATTTAAGACTACGTTTATTCGACTTTACTTAGTACATTTTAGTTTCCTAAACCAGGCATATATGTTAATCTTGATTACACATATTCGAATTTTAATTTCCCGAAAATATTAATCAATTATTGGAACCGTTGTACAGAGATATCAATAATAAAACACAAATACTGTAAACGGTGTCGATATATACTGTATATGGTATACGTTCAAATATGACTTTTTTAGAAGGTTTATTGTTATGACAAGTTTACTTATTTGTTAAGTTTCAGAGGTTTAAGCCCTATCCTGTAATGGACCAAATGGACAGTTGTACCGAGGGCACAATGTACAGTACTGTATACGTATGAATAAAACTTTCCGAATTCCGCAAAATATATCAAAAACTCACAACACTATTAAGTCATAAATATGTCATAACAAACTATACTTTCTCGTACCACACAGCCAATTTATTCAACAGCTGCTTGTATACGTGTTTCAATTACAATATATTGAGATAAATACATTTATATTTATATCAAATTTTTCTAGCGAGAGTTATAGCTAAAACTCATGATATATAAAACTTGCTTGAAACTTGAATTGCGAAGAACTTAGCCCGAGTTCTCTTAGCTCATTATTCAACTTACTGTATTGGTTTATGTCGCTTACACAGTTAATATTGGTGTTTTGCATTTATCACTTATTTTACACTCACACTTTTGGTGGTCTAATCCTGACAAGGCCATTGGTTCGAATAAAAATGGTCATAGCGTTTTTCTTTTACATGGTCTGATATTGTCATGGTTCAGCGCAAAACCTCCGTGCCGAATTTGAAAATGTCAGATAACTGATTAATTCCAAGTCTTATTATATATTCTTCTTTTGCATCTTATCTTTTAATTCTCAGGTAATCCTTGCAGTTTCTCAAGCTGCTGAGAAGAAGAAATACACTTCTTTAACCAGTAACACTATGTAATCTGCGTTCGATAATAAAAAGAAGAAATATCAAGATTTTCATGAGATGAATGCAATTTTTTTATCTATAGCGATCATATTACAGTAATTATAATATATAAATGTCGCGAAATTTACTTTAAAAATCTACAGTAATATTTGCAATTTATATTTCATTACAGTTCGATTTTATAAAATGTAATTATTTTCAATTTAAAACTATAAAATTAAGAAACCTAAAAAATAAATTAAATTAAAAAATATTAAATAACTGGTTCTTCTTAAAAATTTTAATAATAATAATTTTTTGATTATTTAAATGCTTGTTAATTTGTATTAGGTTTATTTTCAAGACCTATGGGTCAATTGCACAGTGCTTAGCACTTTTAGTTCAATTCCAGGTGAAAACAAATTGATCAAAATTAATATGATATCTGGTGTCATAGCCTGCCAAAGTATTGTTTCCCATAAAAAGTCAATTCATATATTGATCCAGTAGACATTGGAATTGTAATTCACAATAATAAGGTGTTGTGACATAATGTTCATCCAGTTTTATGTTACAATAATTACTGAAAATTGTAAGGTATATAAAGTATCTGGTTTTAAGCAAAATAATTTAGTGATTTCTTTATTGTGATACCTAGCATATCTTCCCGCAAGTTATTAGAAAGATCACATTTTTGAATTTATTTAACAATTATTTATTCAGAATATGCTACTGCAGTAAGTATTAATGACTAAAATAATCTATAAACAGTTAATCAGTATGTTTTTAATCACTTGGACAGCCTAGAAAATAATAATGACATGAATTTAAAAAAATTTTTTATAAAGTTTTATTTATTTAATATAGATATTATTTTTCATTTTTCTATTTTAATTCTTTTTAATGTCTATAATAAAAATAAAACCAAATTATATATACTGTATATATTTGATCAACTATTGTCTAATATACTATTTTATTTAATTCATATATTGTTATTTATTAACCATTTTATATATCATTAAACTATATCAAATTACTTCTATATTAGCTTGTTGCAATTGATATTATTTTTAAAAATATTGATCAAGACAAGGTGCCATTAGTGTTAATATTATATTCTTTAATTTTATTTTTATATGATGTTTTAAAAAGAAGTTGAAATATGAAATTGAGAGTAATATCTATATTGAATAAATAGAACTCTGTATAGAAAACTTTTTAAACCCATTCTATTTGCAAATGGATGTATTATTTAATTTCTACTTCTTGTAGAGCTATTTAAAAAATGTTTAAAAAACTTATTTCACAAATTTACTATTTATAAATAGTTTTAATTATTTATATGTACAGCTGTTTTGGTTGTTTTTTTAAAATAAATAACTGTTAAAATAATCTATTACTTGATTAAAATAAAATCTTTTTAATAACTTATAAAAAAAAATACTAGGATATTATGAAAAATAATTAACAATTCATCTTGTTTAAAACCAGATATATTTATCACTTTTTTAAAAAAAATCACAATCTCAATATCTGCTAAATTAGTATATAAAATAACTTCTTATAAGAAGTTGTACTAAACAAGTTATAGTATCAAATATCATATTAATTCTATTCAACTGCATTTATTTAGAATGAAATTAATATCTTGTAATTTGAACTTAAAAGCCTTAACTATTGTACTATTAATCTATAATTTTTTTTTTAAAAAAGTTATAATTCAATTTGATTATATAATAGTAATCAGATTATTAATATTTATTATGGTTATATCTAATTCCTAATATTAAGATCACTTACAAAAATTATCTTGCAATGCTTCTTATAAAGCTTAAACCTTTAATAAAATTTATAGTATTATAAAACTTTAATAATTGATTTATAGTTATATGGCAATCTACACTTATAATAATTATCTCTAAAATAGATTCATGTGAATTTTACTATCAATAGAAATTAAATTTGTAACTTAAGTACAGTAGTACTAGGTATTTATTAATATGTTATATTTTCATTAAAATATAAAATAAAATTATATTTATAGATATACATATATATTAAATAAATAATTTAAAAATTTAACAAGTTTTAGTAATCTTTTTTTTTTTTGAATGTAAAAGGGCATTAGATGCAAGCCTTTATTAAATTGTATATATATGATACATGAGTTACATCAAACATCTTCACATAATAACTATGAATTAATGTTAACC